TATTGGCAAAGATGAGGGAGTACTCGTACCGTACTCAAGTACTGTAAACAAAGCCTGTGCCCCCCCCGCCACATGGAAAATGAAGAAACCCTACTCGAGTACCGGTAAGTCCCCATGGGACTAACCGCACATTCTAGGCCGAGAAAGACAACACTAAAACTGGCTAAAAAGGCGGCAAAGAAGATATCTAACTAGGGATGGGCAGGAAGTAGCAAGGAAATCATTGAGGTACGGTAGACCCCGTCGAAAAGAGAGAAAAAACACGGGGGGAGCCATGTGGTGGGCCCGAAGGCCAAAGGAGGAGCTGCTAACACAGGCCCGGAGGGAAGCCTGTACGAAATTCATCTGAGCGACGTACAGTTAGTTACAGAGAGTAGTGCGTTGTTTCGATACCGGGAACCTCCTAAGTATTATCGTAAATCCCATACTAAAGGGGGCTATATAAGCGGCTCCGAGATTTTAGGGTGAACGAGGGACGGCTGGGTGGCGTTGCACCGTACTCGTACTGTACTGTACCGTACTGTACTCTTCCCCACCAATGCGTACTGTACGGTACGGTACCCCGTCACCATAACTAGATTTTCCGCGAGCCCAACCTTATGTATTGCATATGCGCTTGTGTTCCCTCTAATATCTAGTAGATTTGCATTTTCAGTTTCCCGGCTATATTTTTTGCCGGGTGAGCTGTTCGAGTCTAAATGCTGATAGGTTCGGGGCTGTGTGCCGGGAGTGCAGGGTGTCGTATGGTGGATCAGATGCCCCAGCGACTCGGCAGAAGTGTTTGTGATCTAGGATCTCGGTGATCGCACTATAGAGGGCTAGCTGAGGGGGAGGACGGTGCGATTTCGAGGTTGAGAGATGTCGGCGACCGACCAGCGAGAGTAACCAAAGATTAACCGTGCCAAGGTTCCCACCACTTTGAATAACGCTAAGCGACCTCAAAAGCAGGTGGCACTCCGAGGGAGTGCCTAACAGTTCAACGATAGTAACAGTTCAACGATAGAATTTTTACATAGAATGAAAAAAGTGTATTACAGAACGCCCAATTTCACAACTCAACAGCTTTTGCAACTTTTGCCTTTTATTTTTCTCCTTTACCGCCTTTCTCATTTGCTTTGAAATCTCCTTCCACTCCCGCTTAACCTTGTTATCCACTGCTCTCTGAATATTATTGAGCATGCGCGGGGCTTTCTCAAGCTCCTTCTCAACACTTTCCAGTTCTTTTTGAAGAACTATCGCCCGTGCCTCATGAGCGTGGAGGACCCCACCCTTCTGAAGTGTCCGGTGACTTCGTTTTTGGCACGCAGTTCGTGCAAGCTCCGCTGCTTTCGTATTCTATAGGTGCTCAAGTGCAAGACCCACGCTATGTGCTTGCGCTAAGCTTCGCTTCAGATATTTCTGAAGGCTTACTTGTGATGTTGGAGAGAGGTCTCGAATGTCAGTCTGTAGTGTATCGGCATGGTGCTTTAGAGAGCGTAAGGTTTTTGGTGTTGACTGTGTATCCTCAGGTCTTGGGGATGGAGTTCGTGGCTGTTGAATATCAATTTCTTCAATCTCTGGTAGCTTTGCTAAAACAACATCGGGGTTGAAAGGGACAAGGCCTGTTTTTTTGAAAGCAGAGAGGATTGTCATAAACTTCCAAGTTTGGGTACGAATGGATTCGATGGCGGAAAAAAATTCAACTTTGTTGAACTCTGAACACCCAGTTCATGTAGCTGCGTCAAGTGCTTTGGCATGGTAATGGTTATACGATTGGAAAATGATGACATCCAATGGTTGTAGGAAATGCGTACAATGAGATGGTAGACAAATGAGGATAATCTTATTGTAACGTGTTCGCAAGGAGCTAATCACGTTATCGGTAATAGATACGATAGTTGGCAGGTGGCCTGCTCTTCCAGAGAGGACGCGAGAGCTGAGAACTAACGGAGGCTTCGAGGGTGTACTGAGGAACAAAGAAGTAACCGTTCAACCAAGTATATTGAAATACTGTCTGTCGAAGTCTGCCCTTTCTATCATAGAAACAGGCGGTTTTTAAATACACAAATCTGTTCATGTCTTAACATGAACGAAACTAATCAATGGTATCAATCGATACACTTTGGTAAAACTTCTTAAGTATCAAAGCGATACTTAAAACAAAACATAAAACAAAACCAAGTATCAAATGATACTTAAAACTAACCAAGTATCAAAGCGATACTTAAAACAAAACATAAAACAAAACCAAGTATCAAACGATACTTAAAACTAAACAAGTATCAAAGCGATACTTAAAACAAAACATAAAACAAAACCAAGTATCAAACGATACTTAAAACTAACCAAGTATCAAAGCAATACTTAAAACAAAACATAAAACAAAACCAATAACCAAGTACCCGTACCGGCATACTTGTTCTGATCACAAAATAAAATTCTGATCACAAAATGTAATGAACTGCCGAGTACAGTGTGAATCGTGACCATCTAACAGAAGTATTCTCCATGCTCTGACCTGCCAGTGAGCGGAAAACCTCTCAAAATGGTGAATCCAATCAAATGCTAAGCGGTCATTTGTATAGCCGGTCTCCGACATGCCAACAAAAAAGTCGTCCAGAATTTCGGTCTTTGTATACCAATCCTCCATATGCATTGCACCAGGAAAAATAAGCCTACGAGGAAGTACTGCACCATCACCACTCACACACTCAACAACAGTTACTAATTCTCTATTACTAGAGCTCCCTAAAAACAGAGGCCGTTGTGACTCGCGAGTCACAACCCACTGGTCTCTACTAATACCGATCTGGAATCTGGTCTTATCGAAATTGTAGGTATCAGCATCCTGGATTCCCTTCTGTTCTTTTAATTTCTGAAACTACTGAAACTAGTTGCTTATGGTATCACAGTTATGAGACCGTTTCCGATTAACATCTAGGATTTTTGGCCTCCATATGCTGTATTCGGGATGACGTGTAAGGAAGCGATGAGTCCACATACTGCTCACAACTGGGAGTGGTATGGAATCACAATGAGTTGATGCAAGTACAGAGTTTGCATAGGAAGCGATATGACAAGACCGTGCCGGAATTCCAACCTCGTCTAGCTGATTCAAGTATTGACATAGACCAAGCTCCTGGTCTGATGTAAGCTTCCAGTTTGGTGACTCTCTTTGCTGGTGTGACTGACGACCTTTCCAGCGTTCACACAATCGCTGCTCTGGAACATCATACTCGCGTGCTAATTTAACGATATTAGGGTCTTCGTCATCAAAAACTTGGTCAATTGCATGCTGGATTCTGGCTTCCTTGGTGGCATATTTTTCGTTGGACATGTTGCTGCTGGGTTTTGAGAAAAATTGAAGGATTCACGATGGGAGGTGATGTGATGATTATTCTATCGTTGAACTGTTACTATCGTTGAACTGTTAGGCACTCCCTCGGAGTGCCACCTGCTTTGGAGGTCGCTTAGCGTCATTCAAAGTGGTGGGAACCTTGGCACGGTTATGTACGAGTACAATAACAAGGATAGAATATTTTAAACCGTGATCACTTTTGAACCGGTAAAACTACAAAAACGGAGGATATATTTTCCGACCGGCGGAACAGCGAAAAAGGAGGAACAGGCGAAATGGCTACAACAAGTAAACGACTAAGGGGTGAAGAACTAAGACGGGGAAACCGCAACTATTAGTAAGGCAAAGAAAAACAACAAATCACCAAACATACGACGTTTCGGAGAAGGGTGGAAGAAAATCTCTATTCACCCCGACACATCTACTCAACTACCGCCCTCTCGCATGATCGCATGACAACTCGACTGGTTGATAGTAAAGACAGGAGCAAATGTAAATCACAACAAAGACATACTCAAACCTCTCCATCAGTCGCCCCCCATATCCACTCTGTTCTATGCGTATATCCCTTTCCCCATTGCACGCTCAAGCTAACAAAACGAAAAAAAGATGCTCCACAAAGACTCCGGCGGTACATGACCTCTACGCAGTCCCTTTAACTCTCTCGTTTTCTTAATCCAGTTTCCCGCTGGTGCACATATTCCGAAGCGCATTGCCGAACACTGCATTCGAACAAACGAAGAGCTGTTGGAAGTGGATGCTGCTTGGCATGCTCGTTTGCGCGATACCCGGCTGTCAATTGTGCGAGTGGCCATTCACCTTTGCTGCGCTTTTTGCGGGCCCATTGTCAGCAAACCCACAGTTGGTCATTACCCCCTTGTCAATCATCCATATTTTCAACGAGTGATGTTGAAAATGGTGGTTGAGTAACCGTACTTGGAGGCTACGGTAGTGCGGGTATATGTGAGTATGGGGATACATACGCAGTGAAAATTTCTCACTCCTATGTTTCTCTTCTTGTGAGACAACCTTCTTCACTCACTTCATTCCTGTATGCAACTCTCTTACTTCTCTTCCTGCCATCCATCTCATCTCTCATCTATGTTCGTGTCCTTGTCTCCTCTCAATACAAAATTCTATCAATTCCTTTCGAGCCACTCCTTTCCACTGCCCAAACCCCAATATCGATCATTGCCTTTGTATTGACTATCCTCGCCAATTTCAACCAATTCCAACAGGTACTGACATTGGTTGAACGAGTAATAATACATGACCCTTAGTGATCCGTAGCCAACACCCGCCCCCACCCTAGTATTATATCATAAAAATCTTTTGTTTTTTCATTTCTTTAATGCGGGGGGAACCCCCTTACCGCAGCCCCGATATGGTCCGTCCCATATCCGATCTCTCAGCCTTAAATTAACGCCCCTTGAAGCCTGGATGGCAAACGGGTATATTAAATTATATTGAACCCTCCGCTCTATTCCCCCTCAATCCTACAGCACTACTTCCACAACCACGACAATTAAAGCCTCTGGAGACCGCACAGCATTCTGTTTAGAAGGAGTTCTGCTCTTGGACCACCTCTCCGTATCCTACAAATTTCTGTTCTTCAAACCACCCTATCAGCGCAATATACCCCCCAAAAGAGAACGTAGTTATGATACTGCATCTTCTCCTCCAGAGTGGCACACAGGGTGTTTAACGGGTTACCCCTTGGTATTATCTTAACCTCACTGAACATACCCAGCCACCTCATTCCATTGACGATACGTTCTTTCTCCTCATTGTCCTTGAATCTGGACTTCGAAGAAATGGCCCGAATGAGGTCCTCTTCCTTCTCGGAGGATGACCCAAGGATGTTTGCTAGAGCGGTCTTCCACGGAAGAGGGGTATCAGAAGGCTTAAGAAAGGCAAGAGGCTCGTCAGATAGGAATCCAGTGTCGACGAGAGTACGGACAAATTCAGGGAATCCCTGGTAGCGGAGAGTACCACGAATGACAATTTGTGCCTCGGGAATGGCATACAGTTCCTTGTACACGGTGGAATCGCGGTTAGGATATACGCAACGAATGCAAAGCCCTGATAGATGAGGTATGGTTTCGCAGTCTCCATAAGCCTGGTTCCATCAATTTCCTCTACCTGAAAACGCGCAAATTAGCTCAATTCTAGAAATAGGTTAACTACAGAAGGCTCCACATTTCCATTCTTGTAGTACTTTGCCGAATTACGCAGGGCAAGTAGGACGCCACGAGAAGACCAAGAGAATTTGTAACAAAGAGGATTCCCCGAGGCCTCGGGGGCCGGAAGCCCACCACAGTAAGAAAGGAAGCTCAAGATCTTGCCACCCTTGGAATGAACATCCTTGGCGGTCTTGACAGCGTACAGATGGTCGATACCAGGGTCGAGACCAATCTCATTCATGACTGTGATACCGGCATCCTTGGCCCCTTGGTCAAGCTCTATCATAGCAGGGCTCACATAAGAAGTAGTGACAATATTCTTCCTTTCCTTAATAGCAGCTTTAATAACCTGAGGGTGGTAGACATAAGGAACCAAACTTAAGAATCTATTAGCACATGCGAACCAAAGATCCCTAAGAGAACACACCTGATGACAATATCGTGCGTTGCAACTTCGGCCTCCATGGCGTCGGTATTGTTAATGTCAAGCGAGATGGCAGTTGCGTGTCTGACACCTTCAGCCAGTTCCTCAGCAGCCTTGATATGACGGCAGGCTTCTCACTCATGGTTAGCATATGTACGCATGTATCCCCAGTCAACTGGGCAATGTTTTCCAGATACTTGCCAACAGTGACGGCGACGTCAGAGTCCGATAAGGCACCAAGACACCGCCCCGCGACGAAACCGCTGCCAAGAAGAAGGACTTTGGAGCTATTCGATCGGAGGATTGGAGTCATCGTGTAGTCCTTGAGTACGGGATTGTTGTTGAATTTTAATGGACGAAAACTGTCGAGGTTTGAAACTTATTCTGCTCGAAAGAGACAAAAAAGGGTTTGGGAGGGAATGAACAAATGGATGGCAGAATAGAGGGAAGACAGAGAGACAGAGAGACGTACCGCCCCTAGAGGGCGCACCAACAATCGTGTCCAGACTCCGGAGGGAAATTCTCTTAGGGAAACGGCGAGTTGGCAGGAGGGGAGCACGATTTTTTTATTTATCAAAGCCTATAGCAGTCACATACCACGTCGACTTCTCGGATGAACACTCCCGCACAACCAACACAAGCCTGGAGCGCGTGTTCTGTACTTGTACTGTTAACCCCTGCTATAGTCCTTGCGCACCTAATTTATGCGGGGGTGGTCCCGGATTCCCCGCGAGTCATATGAATTATCCCTCAAATGCCACAGTACGTCTAGTCTAGGACGGTGCTCGAGTAATGTCAGTATGTCAGGTAAGGATCGGAAATCGTTGAAAATCAACCGAAGCCAACAGCAGAGAATCAGGGGACGGGGGAGCAGATCCACACAATTCCTAACAATACCGGCTTTTAATCTTCATTTGCGCTTTACTCCGTTAGATTTTTATAGTTAAATTATTTCAGCTATCAAAGAATGTCGGTCCTACCCCGTCTATTATCGGTGTTTTATCGGTTTTGATCTAAAATCATGTTGAGCTTTTATGGACACTCTGGAAAAGTGCCCGAGGTTGCGGACGGACGGGCAGCGGGGGTTGTGGCTGCTATCCAGAATCTTGGCATGCGTAATGTGTCAATTGACTCAAAACCGGGGTTATCACATACTGGTAATGCGTAAGCGGGATCTCAATCAAGATTACCACCTTGACTGACATGATCGGGGAGCCAGTGCCCTAGGTGGTAGGGAACGCGTTGGAAGGGAACTGAGTGGCCTGCTTGCCTTGAGGATAAGTTACCCTGCTATATTGTGTATCATGGCGCAACAAAAGATAATGCCATTGTCTGATGGCTAACAACAAAGCAACTCAGACCCAGAACACAGCCTCCTTCCCCCCCACAAAACGTCCGCGATCTATTACACCTCCTTCATCCTCCCCCAAATGCTACGCACAATTCATATGGCTCCTCCAAACGACCAGCATTACACCGACCATTAGTGCTACTGATACGCGGCTACCACCCCCCCCCCCACCGAACCACGGCTATTCAACGCCATGGAGCCACCAACCGTCCCGGGCAGGGCGGGTGGGGATAACAGGTCATGGTGTCTGTCTTTCATCAAGACGGCCGTCCTAGGGGTTGACGCCCGGGCCCTACCGTCTTAGTACAAAATTTAATGACATCTTCCGGCGGTTATCTGCAGGGCACGGCCATTACCGGCAGGGCCCGTCCATCTGTCTCGGGGAGTGGTGTGGACGGTCGCCAAGATGCCCATCCGCCCGGGGCATCCTCCCATGCCCCGCGATCCGTCCCGTCCACACCAGAAAACAGGAGGGATGGACGCTTGGGTTCTCTGCTTTAGCCTGGGATACTTGTCGCACGACCAGATATCTCAAGTTGCGAGCAGATGATGAAGGCATCTTAATCCCTGCCCGTGTCCCTCCCAAGAATGTCCAGGCCTGGAAGGGGAAGTATCCAGAAGTTGTGGAAAGTACAAAAATACGCCACGAATACAGTTTCTCTCTCCTTCTGGTCATTAAATGCAACCCAATGGCAACGCATCATTCGTGGCAAAGTTTTTTTTAAACATAGCGTTATTGGTTCTCTGGTCGAAAAACTTGGGAGGTCGCAGACGATGAAGCTGGCCGTGGTTGGTTCAGGCGCAAGTATGTTATCGACCGAATACCGTATAAACTCGTGCTGTCCACTATCTCTGCCTGACCTTTAATCTCCATCAACCTCGCCATCAGTCCAATATTGGTTTAATTTGACAAGTTCCCAAAATTGCGAATAACGGTCCATGTGGTCTAACGATCATGCCTGACCCCATGAAGAAAATTCCAATCCCTCAGATGGTCACTGGCCCTGAGCCCGGAGATTAGGTTCCTGGCAGAGAAAGTGGATAACACAAGTTTTTACCGTAGTCTTTATGATCTAGCTAACCGTTTTTAGCGTTTACTAGTTTCACGGGCGATCGGACTGGGTCCACCGGAGAGCTTCCTGATGCATATGTGAAGCTCCGCAGTGCTAGGTTTTGCCGTGCAGTATGCGAGGCTGGTTGGAGTGACGCGAGAGATTGATGAATGACACGCCTCTAGCTTCTATACGCCGCCCGAATTGTAATTCTTCTTCCATTCACGAAACGGCCACAAAGCATTTCCTTCAGGCCTCAAACCCGGCGACTCAGGATGAGGTTATGAGCCACGGGGGCCCCAGCAAGGAAGAAGCTGTCCTTCACAGCGTAGATCATGCAACGAACGCAAACGATTTGGCAAATAACCTAATGGACCTCAATCTCCGAGAGAAACTCAGGAATCTCCTGCAGTGTTCCCGACCGTCCCAGGCGTCACGGGCAGGGTGGGTGATTACGGTAGGGAAAGGACGGCAGTCCTGGGGGTTGACGTCCTTGCCGGGCCGTCGCCTATTGTCGCGTGTAGGAGCCAGGCATATCCCACACCTTGAGAAACCTGCAGGGCCCGCCTGCTCGTACGCACGGGGAGATGGGTGGACCGGACCCTTGGGTTTACTGATCTCCTAGTTAGCCACTTGCAGGTAACCCTAGAGATCTACCAAGCAAACGAGGATAGCCAAGATGTACAATTATTTGGAGCAACCCTACTCCGGCAATCGGTTGTGGAGGATCGAGGCCTGCAGGAGTTTGAACCCACAATGAAGGATTTCTCGATGACTGTGCCCCCGTAGGCCAAAACCCTCGAGGTTGTATAAGGTTTTGTTTAGAGGAACTGCGGGATTCCGTCAGAGATTCAATACTGGACACAGAGCATCTGCGGGCAATCCGCCGTTCTAAGAAGCTACTGACCAAGGCTGAGGTATGGGAAGTGGGGGGAGCGGTCGCTCAGTGCAAACAGCAGCGACTGGCTGACTCTGTGGCATAAAACTAGCAAGAGAGTTTGGTATGGTGGTGTTTGCAAAGGACAAAAAATGTCTTTTTTCCCGTTCAATTGTTTTTCTCTCGTATTAGTGAGTTCTTGTCTGTTTTCCTCTGCACTACTTTATCATGGCAATTTCTGTCAAATCCTGAAAATAAGAAAGAAATACCAATTCAACCACCGCCCTGAGCAGCCACCAGCCTCCTGCTGCGACAGAGACAACCACATTGAGCTATGCAGTTGAAAACATTTACCAACCAGCTTTTTCGACCGGAAAGCCTTTGCTGTCTAACGTACCAAGCTTTTCACATACATAATTGACAGACCAACTCGAAACTCGGTACGCGGAACAGCGTTTCTTGAACCTGGGGGCTCAGTGCCTCTTCTCCGTCTTCCTCTATGATAGGATACATTATAGTGCCCTGCATAGATAGACGCTACAAAGTGAAATATTGCAAAAACGATAGATAGATAGCCAAACGAGACAATCACCCCTAACACCAGAAGATATTGAATTGGTAAATTGCTTTTGGGGGTGTGTTGGTGATTTTGCCATCGTGATTTAAGCCGGATTGTGGGAGCAGCTATCAAAAGGAGAAGAGGGAATGAAACGAGACTAAATGTATCTGATAATGAAATGCAATGCAATTGCCATCCATACAGGGCGTTCAGGTAGGAATCATCACTAGTTCCTATATATATCATTGCGATAATATCCGCGCAACCCTGAAGTAAAGACTAGTGCAACAGGACCTGTCAGGGAAGTGGGACAGGACGGGGTATTAATTTTTTGCGTTCATCTTTCTTCCGTTTCCTCATTTAACCAATTGTTCTACCTTTCTATATTTCATGAGCTAATTTTTCCTATCCTATATGCTGAGTAACCTATGTCATCATCATTTCCTAACAATTCTCGCTATTTTCCTATTTCTGTTATTGTGATGGAAATATGGAGAATGTTGGTACAGTCAGTTCAGAAATGGGAAATAGGCTTCCTGGTTGATATTTTTAGCAGAACTGGAATAGAGGATGCGAGTAGGCGGCTTCTTAGCAGCATTACGCTATTCTAGAGAGTGCATGTGCTGATATTCACTCTGAAAATAATACTTTTGCTTGATGGGGCCGTGGACCTTATTCTGACCGCCCCGCTGATATGCAGTGATCCCAAGCGGCCAGTCCGTCCGGCTTTGGATGCGGCCGGACTGACCTAGGCTTTTTATTGACGGCTTGGCCGGACCGCGGGAAAGCGGCTTTTCAACCAAAGCCTGGCCCGGCCTGGACATCTGGCCGCTTGGACCAGGGTTGCGCCAAGCAATTTGTGAATCTAAGCGATGAAACTAAATCTCCTAGACTTACTTGAGTATCTCGTTTAAAAAGTCACTTCCAAGTACTAGTTTATGATCTAAATTACCCATCTCTAAACCATCACGGTCGGATAAATTAACAGTGTTGGGTAATATTAGAGAAGAACTAATATATCGGCAGAGATATATTTGACCGAGGAGGTTGGCGAACTGGACGAAGTATTGGATTGATGATCTTGCGGAAGGTAATCAAGCATGCAATAGTTGAAGAGATATGAGTATCATGGTGATTGATCAGCTGGTGCCATTTAATTAGCAGTTTAAGCGAGATTCACGGCACTGTGATCGTGGTATTTATACCCATATCAGCAACAAAAAGCATCAAGATGGCTGGCCCTTCGCAGATAACTTCTGATTTTCAGGGCACCTGGCGGCTTTACCTGGGCATCTGGGGGCTTTGCCTGGGCATCTGGCGGCTTTGGCGGCCGCCCAGAATTTCGACCAGACTGGCTCAGGCTTTTTAAAACCGCGGCCGGACTGGCCGGACTGGCGGCTCATGGTCTGGACTGACCGCTTGGGATCACTGCTGAGTCTACAAACCCATTTCAGACCCAGATAGATATCCACCCTGCAGGAATCAATTGGCCTTCTCTAGTCCTCTGCTATAGATCTCCATCCAGCATGGTCTTCCTTCAAATGGCAATAATTATCAGGGTGAAATGTGTTATGAAGACAAATGCTATAAAGTTACAAAATGATATTTCTGGAGATCAGAGGAGTAGTCAGCTGAAAAAACCTCATGTTCAATGCTCACCTATATTATC